TTTGTAAGGTAACACTGGACTTTGTCATCCTAAACTGCCAGGTTTGTCAGCCTGAGGGCACAGCGCAGAATTTGCCAGGGGGGACATTCCTGAGCTCCTACTGTACAGCAGAGGCCCCAGTCTGGTCACTGGGTGAGGCTTCCTTGTTCAACTCACCCTGAGGCACTGCCAGGCTCCAGAAGGGGCATTTGAACCCCCTGAAATCAGTCACAGAATCACAGAACAGAATCACAGAATAGTTTGAGTGGGAAGGCACCTTGGAAAGGTCACCTGGTCAAACATCTTGTGATAAGCAGGGACATCTTCAACTAGATCAGGTTGCTCAGAGCCTCATCCAACCCGACCTTGAATGATTCCAGGGATGGGGTATCCACCACCTCTCCAGGCAACATATTCCAGTTTCACCAACCTCACTGTAAAAACCTTCTTTCTTTCATCTGAAGTCCCACCATTCATGTCTGGCTCAGATGCATTGTAGATTCTAAATTGTAAATTATAAATTGACCTCAAAGTAAATATTTTGATTCAATTAACTGGAATACTTTTTACCCTTTATCCAACTTCATTATAAGTATCCTGTAAAACCTCTGTTTTTGGAAAACCACATTTTTATTTGAAAGGCTGTTGATAATCTCCTTGAGCTTTAGTTTATATAAGGATCAGAATGTTCAGAAAAGTCAGTTGCTTTTTTTAAAACGTCCTCTCTCCATCCCCCCCCCCCAATAAAGCAATCTTTTAATTTTAATTATGTAAGAGCAGAATGTGAGTGCAGAATGGAAGTGGTATTTCTGTTTTTCCTTCTCCTTCTTGAGGTGTCCACCACCTGGTCTGCTTTTTTTACACCAGGAAAAGAAAACCTGTTTCTCAGCTATCTTCAAAGAATATGTTGCTTTCACTAAAATAGGTGTGTTTTTATGTGCTTTCAAAAGCTTTTTCAAAAGATGACAAAATGTGTAGATATCTGTCCAGCAGTGAGAATTACAGCAAAAATAGGTTCTGCTCAATTTTTCATTATTTTCCAATCCCAGACAGACTGGAAAGTGCACCTATTGGTGACCCCACAAGAAATAGCAACATGCAGCAGATTCCCTTTCAGCTCTAACAATTTAGTACTTTCTCAGGAATTAGACTGTGTTAGATTAGATATTTTAGAACCTGTCTTTTTAAATTTTTTTTTTTTCCTTTTGCTTAAATATGCTTTTGGTAAGAGAAACACTTCAACATTTTTTAACTGAGAAAACTTCTGCAGGATGGGAGGTTGTGGGGTGTGGCATTCATCTCCCTTCAGTTGTCCACAGCTGAGTCAGTCACTCTGTGTCCCATCTGTAGTCACTGAGGGGAAGGAGGCGCTTGTGGGACATGATTGATCTGACCCATTTTCCGTGTCTGCATCAGACTGTGATGAGGTGATGAGATGAGATGCTGAGATGAGATGTTGAGATGAGATGCTGAGATGAGATGAGTGGCACTCCAAAACATTTGGCAAAACTGCCTAAATTTCCACCAAGTGCAGAAGCACCACAGTGTGAGACAGAGAGGTTGTTGGACAGAGAAGTGCAGAGGAGTGTGAACTCCCATCCGAACTTTCTCATCCATCTCCATGAACTTTTTACACTTGAGATCTGCATCTTAACATCACATGGGATGTTTCTAAATCCTGTGTCTTAAGAGTATTTTATAATGCTCAAGTTTATCATCTTTAGTGGTGCCTTTGTTGCACCTAAAACACATACCACATAAAAGGCAAATATATTCTCATGGAAAGCAAATATATTCTCATGAGAACCTTAATAACAGGAACTCTCTAAAAGGGTAGCATGGCCTTCCTTGCCTTGAAGCACATTTTAGCTTTGTCAATGAAGTATATTATGGTTTGGGATTAAATGATGTTTTTTAAAAGTCAATTATTTTGATCAAAAAAAATCTTTGTTATAAATTAATTCACAGTTTGAAATAAGCAATTAAAATATAACCATTTCCCAAGTAAATTCCAACCACTAACTTTAAACTGAAAAGATGTAGTTAAATTCCAGTTTGTTGCTAATCTCAAAAAAATTTTGGCCATGATATATAGTCGTGCAAATGCACCAGCACAGACACACTTGACTGAAAACACATTCTTCCCTTCTTTTTCTACAGTGTAACAAGTTTCATGATTTCTGATGATTATTTGCTCATGCTCAGCAGAGTTTTTTATTTTCTCATAGTACTGACTTGTCTTGATACCATGAAAATGTAGAGATACTTTTTAGGGATTTTTCTTTCACCTGTGCTCATTAGGAAACAAGCCTGTGTTTACCTGTTATGCAGACTGCTTTGCATATAGAAATGCTGCTGGTTTTTTTCAAATATCTATAATGAACTATACAGTGCTTATTTATCTTCTGTTGCCACTGAGTGTGTTGGAAATTTTAAGGACCGTTGTAAAGATGCACTTCCAGCCGGAGGGGCTGGATGAGTTAGGCAAGCCATAGGATTAATGCGAGGATTTAGAAGGTGCATAAGTTACCAGTAATACAAGGATGGTTAACAATATGCTGTTTACATGAGGTGAATTTGTCAGGGAAAGCTTTTCTGCAGTAAGAAGGAAAATGTTTGGCTCCCTGCAGTAAGAGCGAGATGTGGTCACTGTGTGCTGCCACCACAACTGCACCAGGACTGAGGGGCTGCACAGTCTGGATGTGGGTGAGGACTGACAGCTGATCACACACAGGGACGTCTTCTGGCATGGCCCACGACAGTCAGGAGGGACTGGCTTTTAAGGGGTTTTAAGCTAAGCATTAATAAATAGAGGAGAAGCTGTAACTTGGTGCAGAATGGAAGGAAACAGGGAACAAGAATAAAACAGGGAACAACAATAAAAGGAGCTGGAGGGCTCGAGTTGTTCGACAGTTGGAACAGGTGGGGGGTGACGGGAGAAGAGAGAAGTATAAGGAAGCAGATTATGAAGGGGTTTGAATGTCAAGTGGCCATACAACTGGATTTGATTTCTGTTTCCTGCTATGTGACATTAGGCAAATCATGACATTTCTCTGGTTTTTATGAGTAGAAAAAAGTGGATAAAGCTTGCACACCAAGTATCAAACAGTGGTGACAGCTCTGATCTTTGTGCAATGTAAATGAGATATTTATACTAATTTCAAAAATTCTTAAATGAGCATGGTAATGTAAAAACATTACATTTACAGTTTCCTTGAACTTACCCTTAATTTTTTTGTAGTATTCATTAACATATCTTGCTGTAATCAAGATTTCTGCAGAGCTTGATTTCTGTATACAAAGCTTTTTATTTATGGAAAGCAAGTTTCTGCAAGGTGATCTTCCTTACAGTCTGTCACCATATTGAATAGGTAATGAGGAAGTGTCATTCTTTTTGTACTTCATGATCCTAAACTTTTTCTAAAAATACGTAGGTAGGAGATTATACTGTGTCACTGTTAAAATTAGTGTCCCTCTTCATTACATAAAAGAAATGTGCAATACCATTGTCAGCTGCAATCAGAAGCAATCCTTGCATGTATTGATTTTATTTCCAAATAAGATCTTCCCACATAGGATATGCTCAGAGTGCTACAGTTTGTAAAAGCCCAATAGAGTACAGCAGAGACACTACACTGTTCTGGAGGGCACACTTTACATAGCTGTTTTACACAGCTGTTCCTTTTCTTGAAGGGGAAAAAACCCCAAGTATTGAATCTGTTTGAAGTTCAAGAATTGTTGTGATGTCCACGATGATTTCACATAATCCTATTTCTAAGAATCCCTGTTTACCATGTCCAGCTGGCTGCAGCACCATGTCTCGTGCTGGTAGGTGACAATCGGAGCTGGATTTTACACACTTTCACTGCTTCTCATCTGGATCTCACTGGGATAATTTACTGTGGTTTAAAGTTACTGTTTCCAGGGTAGGTAATCTAGAACACAGCACTGCATTTATTCAGCAGCACAGTCGGAGATGAGTTGTTTTCTGCTCTCAACACTAGTTTCCTACAGATCAAGCTCAAAGCCTACACTCTTGTTTACAAGACACTCTGGCTGGCCAGATTCCTGATCTTCCAATAGTCCCAGATTTGTAATGGTTCCACCAGAGATGTAGGATGAGGACTGGTGACAAAACCTCTGCTTTTCAAAGGCAACTCTTGTTTTTGTGGAGAGGCTTTTGAGTAGCTGGAGACTTGCAGAAAAAACTTGAAGCAAGACTAAGAACCACCTGAGAACTGGGTCACATACACTCATACTGTGGGCTGGACTCTTTTATATTCTGTCTGCTAATACAGATACAGAGTACATATGCTCATGATTTGTGGGAGACAAATAAGCAACCCTCTGCCAAAATGAATGCTAGCACTGAACAAGCAAAACTGGGAGAAATGCACACAGAGGGAGAAAAACAGAGAGAAAACTATTTCCAAAAGTTACATATTAGTCATGTCACTTGATATGCAGTGGAAAACAGTTGGACAAAACAGCAATCAAAATACACATAATGACAAAAAGTTCTTCATAAAAATACCATGGAGCTCACATTTGAAGATGCTAATAATTTTTTTGACATTTGAAAAGAACTTACTTTATCTCCTCTAAATCTAACATTTTCTGCAAAATGAGTGAGAGATCTGAGGAAAACCTGTTTCTGAATGAGTCAGTTTGTGGGTGTCTTGGTGGTTTAGGTAAATCGAAATAGTTTTTCTTTCTGTTTGTATTTTGATGTTTCTCTCATCTGCAGTAAGTAAAATACTTGCAGTTCATATTACTTGTATTTTTATTAAAATTATACTTACTATTGATTATGACTGGGGGAGAAAAGTGCTTCCCACTGTAAGTCAAGACCAAGTTCTTGACCACTTGGGGAATCTGAATATATATAAGTCCATGGAACCTGATGAAATGCACCTCAGAATCCCTTGGGAATTGGCTGATGCAGCAGCCAAGCCACTCTCCATGATATTGGAAAAGTCATGGCAGTCAGGCAAAGTCCTAAGTGACTGGAAAATGGAAACATGGAGCCCATCTTAAAAATGGGTAGAAAGAAGGACCCTGGGAACTACCAACCTGTTGGCCTCACCTGTGTGCCTGGGAAGATCATGGAACAGATCCTCCCAGCAGATGTGCTAAGGCACGTGGAGGACAGGGAGGGAGGTGATTCCATACAACCAGCACGGCTTCACCAAGGGCAAGTCCTGCCTGACCAACCAAATGGCCTCTGTGATGGGGTGACTCCATCAGTGGACAAGGGAAGGGCTGCAGGTGTTGTTTATCTGATCCCTGTAAAGTCTTTGACAGGGTCCCCTCAGACATCCTTGTCTCTAAATAGGAGAGATATGGTTTTAAAGGGTGGACTGTTCTGTGGATGAGGAATTGGTTGGATGCTCACATCCAGAGGGTAGTGGTGAGTGGCTCAATGGCCAAATGGAGATGGGTGATGAGTGGTGTCCCTCAGGGGTCTGTGCTGGGACCAGAGCTATGTAATGTCTTCATCAGTGACATGGACACTGAGACGCAGTGACCTCAGTGAGCTTACAGATGCCACCAAGCTGCGTGGTGTGCTTGACATACCTGAGGGATGGGATGCCATTCAGAGGGACCCGGAAAAGCTCCAGAAGTTGGCCCATAGGAATTCCATGAGGTTTAATAAGACCAAGTGTAAGGGAAAACCTCCAGTGCCAACACAGGCTGGGGGATGAAGAGATGGAGAGCAGCCCCATTGAGAAACACTTGTGGGTGCTGGTGGATGAGCACCAACATGGAATGACCCAGCAATGTGCACTCACAGTCCAGAAAGCCAAATGTGTCCTGGGCTGCAGCAAAAGCAGTGTGGGAAGCAGGTGATGGAGGGGATTCTGACCCTCTACTTGGCTCTGCTGAGATCCCGCTGGAATATTGCATCCAGATCCGGGGCCCTCGATAGAAGTACGTGGGCCTGTCGGAGTGAGTGCAGAGGAGGACCACAAAGATGGTCAGAGGAATGGAGCACCTCTCCTGTGAAGACAAGATGAAAAAGTTGGAGTTGTTCAGCTTCAGGGTGACTTTAAAGCAGCTTTCAGTACCTGAAGCAGGGCCTATGAGAAATCTGCAGAGGGACTTTCAAGAGTGTGTAGTGACAGGACAAGGGGGAATGGCCTTAAGCTGAAGGAGGGCAGGTTGAGATTGGATATTAGGAAACATTTCTTGACTGTGGGGGTGGTGAGACACTGGTACAGGTTGTGAGAGGGAGAAGCTGTGGCTGCCCCATCCTTGGCAGTGTCCAAGGCCAGGCTGGACGGGGCTTTGAGCAACCTGGTCTAGTGGGTATTCTGTAATAAAGAGGGCTGAACAGAAAATATATTTTTTCCCCTTTACACTATTCTTAAATTGATTTTGAGGACTTGCTCCTGAAACCGAAGTCAATAGGAACAATATAAAACCCTAGAGTAGTAAACCAAAGAAATTATTTCCTAAATAAATTGCCATCAGACTTTTTTCTCATTCTTGTTTTTCATCTGGGCAAGTCATGGATGAGACTGGATTCCTTCAAGGACATCTTTTCTCTTGAAGTCACCAGAACTTTATAAGGTTGCTGAAGTCTTCCGTGTATTTTGGGTGTATATCATGTATACATTGTTAATACTGAGGTCAAGCCCAGAGTTCTCATGCCCTCGTGTCCTGGTCCAGCACTGCTACTCCCTGTTTCCTTAGTTATTCCTGTGTTACAGACACCTCTGCACTGAGATCTGCAGCAATTCCCCACCAGCATCACAAAGCATCAGAGCTACCTCTGGGTTCTTCTGCGCTTGTCGTTTAAGTTCCCTCAGCAGTGTTTGCAGTCAGTGTTTACAGTCAGACCATCCAAACCAGGCCAGCTGATTTTATGGTGACTGGGAATGAAGCTACACAGAGGAAAAACTGACTAGTCTGAATTTAAAATACAGCAATAATAGCTTTTGACCCTCAAAGCACTGCATGAGTTTTTATCCTTTTGATGGAAAAAGGATCATGATTGGGTTTGCCCTGGTATTTTGCTGCAGTGTAGCTTTCTATGCCTTCTTCTGCAGCCTTTTCTGGTGAATTTCTCACTGAAGGAACAGAATGAGTCCTGTGACTTCAGGTCAGGACAGGATCACGCCCCAGCGGGCACTGTATCACTGGCTCATTCTGAACTTTAGTCTTCTTACTTACTGCCAAACTCTACATCAAAGGAAAGGAAGCCAGTAGGTTTTCCACATTTTGCATGTGGAGAAATGTATCTGAGCTTCTGTCTGTTCCCATTCGGCAACTGCTGCAGAGATTTTTGAGGAACAAGAAGAGGCTGAAATATGGTCATCGAAAATGAACAGAAAGTTTATTCAGACACTACTCTGTCCTCTGCTATTTTTTATGATTAGACAATAGAATTGTCTTATTTTTAGAAATGACTCCTAATGACTCACCCCCTGCTGCTGGCTTTACGTTTCATACAAATGACTGGAAAAACAACTGGTAGACAACATAATAATAGTAAAAAAAATACCCACAACCTTAGCAACATGAAAGGATCCCACTTGCCCTTAGCTTGTTTGAAATAAAACGTTATATGCAACAACAAAAGCATACCTAGAAAAAAAACCTCAAGCGTGTTTTTAAAGACATTTTCCTTGAAAATATCAGTGCTATAAAGACAAATGGGATGTGAGTCATTAGGAGGTGTGGTCTGATTGACATGCAGCTCCTGTTGTGTTTTTAAGAATAGATTAAATGTTTTTCAGTAGCACTAAACTTTCCTTGTTGACAGCAGGAGCAATTGTGGCTTGCATAATAAAACTGGAGATATAAAATAATTTCACCGTATTTTGTTTCCGCTTTATGAGGTAGAGATTTGTGTGACTGAAAATGTCAATAAGGAGATAAATTACTGGCTTTCACTGTGAAAAAATAATAGGATGATTTTCTCATGACAAAAGATACAGCAGGTATCTGTGGAAAAGTAAGACAAGAACAGCTATTTTTGAAGCCGCAGAGGTTTCTTTTATTCCATATTCTTGCACTTATTTTTTCCTAGCTATTGAAATTTTTATTTCCTAGCAGTTGAAGTCGCGAAGCTACTGAAATGTTTCCCCCCTCTCAAAATTATTAAGAGATATCTGTAGTAGTTAGGGAGAGTTTCAGTACAGTGTGACAGAGGATGGCTCTTGGTGATGACCCACTCTCATCCAAATAATGACACACCTCTGCTACTTCTGGTCAGATGACTTTCCTCTTGTTCTTGGGAAAGATTATTTAATTTCAGCTAGTGAGACTGATTCTTTAATTTATTTTAAAATATTTATTTTATTAAATTTTACCAGCAACATTAGAAATGCCAATATTTAGAAATGCTTGTGTGCCTTTTAGATGGTCTGATGTTTTAGAAACTACCACAGGTCTCAGAGTAGTTTGTGCAACACAAACCTGCCAAGGCAGCTTTGCTGGCAGCTGTGTGTTGATTCTGGTTCTGAGAATTACTGAAGCAGTGAGGGAACTGCCTTGCTAGGAGTGAGGTGGTTCAGGAAGTGGGAGATTTCCTCTCAGAATCATGGGGCAGTTTTAATGAAATTTTGCTGTGACATAGTGTACTGTCACAGCTCACCAAATGAAGGCTGGAGACACCATGTAGGGCAGTTTGGTGTGGGAAAAGAGACAAAATGTGAACGTTTTTTAAGCTAAATTATGGATAAACTAAAATGTGGAGCATATGTGTATGCACCTATGTATATTATTGTGGACATTTGAAAACTTTCCCGGTCCAGTGGTTCTAGTTAATATTAGTGAATTAAATCCAAATTCCTGCAAGAAGTCCTTACCTATTTCCAGAATAAAACTACCCTGGCCATGCATCTACCTGTGATGCAAAGCCACATTCTTGACAAGTTTGCCACTTATTTCTACAGGAGATCTTTCTGTGAAGTTGAGTAACAACACCATTCAAAGTTATATCACTTTATGTAGAACACAAGGTCATTGGAGTTGCAAAGTAAGATGTGAAGATGGGACATTATTAGATTAGAATCCTCTACATAAATTTGAGAAATAAAATTGCTTTAGCCTGAAGCATAGTTAAGGGCAGTGTGGCCAGAACAACATAAATTATTCACGACTGAATTGTGACAAATTTATGTTGTCCTGAAACTAAATAGTTTGATTTTCAAAAATGCTTTGTTAGATGCATTTTTAAGAAAAAAAACAAAAAACCAAAACCACGGAACATTTTAGAAGTTAAAGCAAAAGAAAAATGGAAATGAAGAGCTGGACTACCAAAGAGGCTTTAGGCATAATTTCCAAAATGGTAGAGATGGTGCTTTCTGCTTCTCTCACCAGAGCACTCGGCAGTTCCATTTCATGGTGAGCTCTAAAGGAACTCACAGGAGAGTTGGTCCTGTTCAATCTGTTCCTGTGGCCTGCATGAAGATAATCAGGTGTTACCCATAGGAAAAGCTGGTGGTTTGGGTTGTCCATGGAAACGGAGGTGCAGGGCTTTTGTTTCAGTGAGTTTGGAAGGATATTTTTGCTCAGATTCCTCATGTTGTCAGGGTGCAGCAGGGCAGAAAACACCGACCACGTTGTGCCTTCTCCATCAGGACTGTCAGTGATGGTCGTAAAGTGCTGAACTTGCGAAGCTGAGGTTGCCTTGAAATTGTATCTTTGGTGAATTAATCCTCAGTGAAACAGTTCTCTAGGTCTAGTACTGAAGAGCGAGGGGGAGTTTGTTGGGTTTTGTTGGTTTTTGTTTGTTTGTTTGTTTGCTTTACATTTAAATTGAGGAAGAAATCCGTGCTTTTCATACAGGCAATATTTCTGCCACGAGGTTCTTGGAGTACAGCCTGGGAATACTATTCAGATAAGACAGTAACAGTTCATTTTTTCCAGAAGAGAGAATTACCAGCAGCTATCATTACTAGAGGGAGATATTGCAATTTGTCCAAGCAGCAGCAGTATCTGTCTTTAATTGCTGATAGTTAACAATTGCATGGGAAATTGAAAAAACCTACAGCCATTAATTACAGCCGCTACAACCTTTCAGCCCTGGAGGATCTGCTAACAGTGATGGACTCTGGCACTCCTGGATCGTGCTGCATATTAGCTTAAACCTAAGGAGCTGTCAGGAAGGGGGGATATCGTGCCCAAGACAGGCAACCAGAGTAGGGCTACATATCAAAAAGTTTGAGAATTGCTGCTTTACACAGTCCTAGAGGCACAGATTGGAATGAGCTGTCAAATACAGTTTTTCACAGACTGTTGTGGAGGATATATAATGA